CTGAGATGACTGGCTGATGCACCACCTGTGCCCCCTACTGTGCCAACCTGCTGTGCTTTAGCCACCCGGCGCTCCGCTCGCTGTTGTGAGCGTCGCTCCTCCGCCCTCCGTTGTTGTTGGAGGGCGACTGCCTCCAACTGCCCAGTAGCATCCTTCACGAGCCTCCTCCACAGAGGCCGATCTTGACACCGCTGGTACCAGTCATCGGCAAGTCCACTCAGCTCCACGTCCTGCTGTACCACATCACTCCATCTCTTCTCTAGCCCCGTGCCTTCTGTACCACATCACTCCATCTCTTCTCTAGCCCCGTGCCTCCTGTACCACATCACTCCATCTCTTCTCTAGCCCGTGCCGCGCCCGTTTAGCCCCCTCGATCCGGCCGAACAAAAGCTGTTTCGGCATGCGGTGGCTGGGCATGCGGGCTACATGACCCAGCCAACGCAGCCTTGCCTGCCGGAGGAGCTCACCGATGGGACCGTGCCCAGATCTTTCAAGGATTTGTGAGCTCCACACACAATCCAGCCTGGTTAAACTCAGGATGGATCGTAGGCAGGCCAGCCTAAATGTTTCTAACCAGCGAAGATGTTCCATTAGGGGGGTCCACATTTCGCAAGCGTAGAGAAGGGAGGGAATGACCGTGGCCGAGAAGACCTGAAGCTCAGTGCGGAGGGACAGACCAGGTAGCTTCCACACAGCATTATGCAACCGATGAAAAGATATTGCCGCTCGACTGATTCGGAGTGAAACCTCTGCTGTTAAAACTGGAGCCGGTCATAAGCACACTGCCCAGGTATGAGAAACTCTCCACTCTCTCCACAACTGCCCCATCACCGATTGGGAGTTGTGGGGGTGGAGTGTCCGATGGTACAAAATACCCAGGTAGGTGCTTAGTTTTGGTGGGGCTGATGGTAAGGCCCCCATCTCTTAGTAGCGCGCTCCAGTCTCAGCAGCAGCGTCTCCAACTCCTCCTCTGACTGAGCAGCTATTACCAAATCATCAGCATACATAACGTGGTTGAGCAATAGGGAGCCATCCCTTGACCGCACCCGGGCATCGATCAGCCTCCCATTATATCCGTACCATATGGAGATTCCCCCGGTACAGCTATTGAAGGCTTCACGAACTACGTAGTCAAAATAGATGTTAAATAATGTGGGAGCCAGAGGACATCCCTGTCGCACCCCAAGGTGTACAGGGAATGGCTCTGACTCCCGGCCACGTACTTTTACCCGGGCCCGCTCACCATCATGAAGGTCCTTAATGATCGTGAGCAGAGGGTCAGGGACTCCAAAAGCACGAAGAACAACCCAGAGTCTCGTCCTTTCACCTGATGAAGGCCGCTTGTGTTGTGGCCGAAACGTCGTGATTTTTTGCTATTTTATTTTCACCTACGTGACTTTACCCAATAGAACCAAAGAGTAACAACCCAGAGCCCGGGCCTACTGATGGTATCATAGGCCTTGACCAGGTCAATAAAGCAGAGATGTAGGTCTTGCTGGAATTCCCTACACCTCTGCTGTAGCAGACGGACAGAAAATATGGCATCTGTGCAGGACCGCCCTTTCCTGAAACCGCACTGGGGCTCCGCAAGCCTCTCCTCAGCGTGCCTGGCAAGGCGATGCTGAATAATCCTTGCCAGGACCTTTCCCAGCACACTGAGGAGTGAGATGCCCCTGTAGTTGTTACGATCTGTGCGGTCCCCCTTCTTAAAAAGGGGGACCACCAGGGCATCCTTCCAATCCTGCGGAACCCGTCCAGTGGTCCAGACTGTTGTTATGATGTCATGTAGGGCAGTCGGTGCACAAACGCCGCCCTCCCTCAGCATTTCGCTTGGGAGATCATCTCTGCCCGCTGCCTTTCCTGGTCTCAGACTCCGGATCGCCTTCAGTACTTCCTCAACAGATGGCACTTCAGCCAGCCACTCACAGGGGGTGACTTCTTCCAATATTTGAGGCACTGCAGCTGATGATGATTGCTTGTGTTGCAGTCGAAACGTCGTGAGAATTTTATTGTTTTATTTTTTAAAATCATTTTATTGTTTCCCTTCTACGTGGTGACTTTACCGAAAGAACCAAAAATATGGTATTGGAGTTGTACGGGTCAAGTTTTGCGTGATGGCGTCATCACGCCGATCGACGTCTTTACGTCATCACGGCCGGGGGGGGAGGGGTTACGTGATGACGCCACCACGCAGGAGCCTGTCCCGAGCCTACAGGAAACGTAACGGGAAACGTGCGTGGTGACGTCATGGCGCACGTTCCGTGTGTTCCACTCCGGGCAACGTACGGGAAACGTGCGTGGTGACGTCATCGCTCACGTTCCCTCTGTCTCGCTCCGGGCAACGTAACGGGAAACGTGCGTGGTGACGTCATCGCGCACGTTCCCTCCTGCGTCCCGCTCCGGGCTCCGTAACGGGCAACGTGCGTGGTGACGTCATCGCGCACGTTCCCTCTGTCCCGCTCCGGGCAACGTAACGGGAAACGTGCGTGGTGACGTGATCGCGCACGTCCCCTGTGACCCGCTCCGGGCAACGTAACGGGAAACGTGCGTGGTGACATCATCACGCACGTTTCCCTGCGTCCCGCTCCTAACAACGTAACGGTAAACGTGCGTGGTGACGTCATCGCGCACGTTCCCTCTGTCCCGCTCCGGGCAACGTAACGGGAAACGTGCGTGGTGACGTGATCGCGCACGTCCCCTGTGACCCGCTCCGGGCAACGTAACGGGAAACGTGCGTGGTGACATCATCACGCACGTTTCCCTGCGTCCCGCTCCTAACAACGTAACGGTAAACGTGCGTGGTGACGTCATCACGCACGTACCCTGCGAACCGCTCATGGCAACGTAACGGGAAAATCGTGCGTGATGACGTCAATCCCCCGGGGAGGGGCTGCTGCTTTACCCCAACTACTGTGGAGGGGGAGGAGTCTCGTGAAGGACGCTGCAGCTACTGGGTCCAGTGCCAGGCTAGGTGCACCTTGAGGCTACTGGTGCCAGGCTAGGTGCACCTTGAGGCTACTGGTGCCAGGCTAGGTGCACCTTGAGGCTACTGGTGCCAGGCTACGTGCACCTTGAGGCTACTGGTGCCAGGCTACGTGCACCTTGAGGCTACCGGGGGTCAGTGCCAGGCTAGGTGCACCTTCAGGCTACTGGGGGTCAGTACCAGGCTAGGTGCACCTTGAGGCTACTGGTGCCAGCCTAGGTGCACCTTGAGGCTACTGGGGGTCAGTGCCAGGCTAGGTGCACCTTGAGGCTACTGGTGCCAACCTAGGTGCACCTTGAGGCTACTGGACAGTGCCAGGCTAGGTGCACCTTGAGGCTACTGGTGCCAGGCTAGGTGCACGTTGAGGCTACTGGGGGGCAGTGCCAGGCTAGGTGCACTTTGAGGCTACTGGGCAGTGCCAGGCTACGTGCACATTGAGGCTACTGGGCAGTGCCAGGCTAGGTGCACGTTGAGGCTACTGGGGGGCAGTGCCAGGCTAGGTGCACTTTGAGGCTACTGGGGGCAGTGCCAGGCTAGGTGCACCTTGAGGCTACTGGGGTCAGTGCCAGGCTAGGTGCACCTTGAGGCTACTGGTGCCAGGCTAGGTGCACCTTGAGGCTCCTGGGGTCAGTGCACCTAGCCTGACACAGCAGCAGCAGTCAACCCATGGCACCTGCAGGGTCTGTCACGTGACCTCCTCCTCATGCACCTAGCCTGGCACAGGCATAGCGAGACGTCTCCACTCGCGATGACGTCACCGCTCAAATGACGTCATCTCTCACACTCGAGAGAAAAAAAAGACGACGTCGTTGGAGCGACGGCCCTTCCCTCCGGAAACCATGACGTCACCTGATCGAAACCATGACGTCACCTGATCGAAACCATGACGTCCCTGATCGAAACCATGACGTCACCCGGAGGTGCGGAACGCCCTCCTTCGCGACGCCGTCCGATGACGCGCTCGGACCGACTTTGACGTCACTTTCACGGCAACGAGACGTGACGTCAATATGGGCGAATACGTCATTCAAACAGTGGGTGGGGGGCGTGGTAGAGGGGCGGGGGGCTAGGGGAGCGGAGAGTGGCAGGGCGAAGTGGGGGGGCGGGGCGAAGTGGGGGGGGACGGGGCGAAGTGTGGGGGGGCGGGGCGAAGTGGGGGGGGCGCGGTGGGGAGGCGGGGCGAAGTGGGGAGGCGGGGCGAAGTGAGGAGGCGGGGCGAAGTGTGGAGGCAGGGCTTAGTGGGGAGGCGGGGCGGAGTGGGGGCGGTGCGAAGTGGGGGCGGGGCGACGTTGGGAACTCCCCACCCCGGAAGTTCGTGCCGCTCAAAACTTTATCCGGGTGGGTGGCGGAGTTGAACTTCTCGGTTTTTTTAACGCCGCTTCTTAAAATATTTATATTTGTTAAAATCCGCTTTTTAAAATTGATTCTATCAGTTTTGTTTTTCTTACCTCTCCCAGTTTCTATTACAATTTTTTTATTTTTTTAAAATATTTATTTGTCGCTTAATTATCCAATTTTTAGAACGAACGCCGATTGGCCTAGTCGCTTTTACGGTCAGCCTCGGTCTTGTCTAGCGGCAGACCGGGGGTTACCCCCCCCCCATCCCCCCGGGTGGTGGTGGTGGCCTCCCCTTAGGTCGACTCAGCCTCAACCCACACCTCTTCTCTGTGTGGCCACAGTGGCGGACATCGTAGACGCTGCTGCTACTCGCTACGACTAACAGCACTTGCCCCTACAGCCCTGCTAGTGGCTACCTGGGGGATCTTTGTCTCTATCTCTTCCTGTCTCTCTCCGGTCTCTCCCTCTCTGTGTGTGTCTCTCTGTGCGTTTCTGTGTGTCTCTCTGTGTGTCTCTCTGTGTGTGTGTCTCTCTGTGTGTCTGTGTGTGTGTCTCTCTGTGTGTCTGTGTGTCTCTCTGTGTGTGTCTCTCTGTGTGTGTCTCTCTGTGTCTCTCTGTGTGTCTCTCCCTCTCTCTCTGTGTCTCTCTGTGTGTATCTGTCTGTGTGTGTCTCTGTCTCTCTGTGTGTCTCTCTGTGTGTCTGTGTCTCTGTCTCTCTCTGTGTGTCTCTGTGTGTGTCTCTCTGTGTGTCTCTGTCTCTCTCTGTGTCTCTCTGTGTCTCTCTGGGAGGAGTTGGCTTTCTAGCGATGGACCAGGAGGATGTTGAGTTTCGCAAGCTGTTGCTCTCTGTCGCCAAAGAAGTTACCAGAGACAAACTAGACGAAATGAAGTTCTGCCTCAAAGTGTACGGACGAGGTGAGTGTCGTCTGTGTGTGTCTATGTGTGTGTCTATGTGTGTGTGTCTATGTGTGTGTGTGTCTATGTGTGTGTGTGTGTCTATGGCTGGGTCATGTAGCCCGCATGCCCAGCCACCGCATGCCGAAACAGCTTTTGTTCTGCCGGATCGAGGGGGCTAAACGGGCGCGGCACGGGCTAGAGAAGAGATGGAGTGATGTGGTACAGGAGGCACGGGGCTAGAGAAGAGATGGAGTGACGTGGTACAGGAGGCACGGGGCTAGAGAAGAGATGGAGTGATGTGGTACAGGAGGCACGGGGCTAGAGAAGAGATGGAGTGATGTGGTACAGGAGGCACGGGCTAGAGAAGAGATGGAGTGATGTGGTACAGGAGGCACGGGGCTAGAGAAGAGATGGAGTGACGTGGTACAGGAGGCACGGGCTAGAGAAGAGATGGAGTGATGTGGTACAGGAGGCACGGGCTAGAGAAGAGATGGAGTGACGTGGTACAGGAGGCACGGGGCTAGAGAAGAGATGGAGTGATGTGGTACAGGAGGAAGTGGAGCTGAGTGGACTTGCCGATGACTGGTACCAGCGGTGTCAAGATCGGCCTCTGTGGAGGAGGCTCGTGAAGGATGCTACTGGCCAGTTGGAGGCAGTCGCCCTCCAACAACAACGGAGGGCGGAGGAGCGACGCTCACAACAACGAGCGGAGCGCCGGGTGACTAAAGCACAGCAGGTTGGCACAGTAGGGGGCACAGGTGGTGCATCAGCCAGTCATCTCAGTCATCTCAGTCAGTCGACCCGTGGCACCTGGGTCTGCCCCGTGACCTCCTGCCAGTGGGCGTTCGACACTTCACGTGGCCTCAGGGTGCACATAGCCTGGCACAAGCGTCGTGGTGACGTCACCGCCACTTAGTGGCGAATGGCGGTTGTTGTGTGTGTCTTTGGGTCTGTGTGTGTCTGTGTGTGTCTATGGGTCTGTGTGTGTCTATGGGTCTGTATGTGTCTGTGTATGTGTGTGTCTATGGGTCTGTGTGTGTCTATGGGTCTGTGTGTGTCTATGGGTCTGTGTGTGTCTGTGTGTGTCTATGGGTCTGTGTGTGTCTATGGGTCTGTGTGTGTCTGTGTGTGTCTATGGGTCTGTGTGTGTCTGTGTGTGTGTGTGTCTGTGTGTGTCTATGGGTCTGTGTGTGTCTGTGTATGTGTGTGTCTATGGGTCTGTGTGTGTCTATGGGTCTGTGTGTGTCTATGGGTCTGTGTGTGTGTGTGTGTCTGTGTGTGTGTGTCTATGGGTCTGTGTGTGTCTGTCTGTGTGTGTCTGTGGGTCTGTGTGTGTCTATGGGTCTGTGTGTATCTGTGTGTGTCTCTGGGTCTGTGTGTCAATCGGTCTGTGTGTGTGTGTGTCTATGGGTCTGTGTGTGTCTATGGGTCTGTGTGTGTGTGTGTCTGTGTGTGTGTGTGTCTGTGTGTGTGTGTGTCTGTGTGTGTGTGTCTGTGTGTGTGTGTCTGTGTGTGTGTGTCTGTGTGTGTGTGTATGTGTGTGTCTGTGCGTGTGTGTGTCTGTGTGTGTCTGTGCGTGTGTGTATCTGCGTGTCTGTGTGTCTCTGTGTCACTCAACCCCTCTCCCCCGTCCCTCCCCCACCAGGCCCGCTGGAGTCAGTGACGAGCTCCCTGCAGCTCTTCACGCTGATGGAGGAGCGCGGAGATCTGTCGGCAAGTGACACCACCAAGTTGGCCGACATCCTCCGCACCGTGCGGCTCACCACGCCGCTCACCCCGGCGCTCACCGCACCCTCGCCCTCCTCGGCGCTCACCGCCGCCGGTGAGGCGGTGCCGGTGAGCCTGGCGCTGCAGAGCTTGAACCTCGGGGACGCACGGACACCCACACAGGAAGATGGGAGCGGTGGGGAGGGTGAGTGAGTGAGTGGGTGGGTGGGTGAGTGAGTGGGTGGGTGGGTGGGTGAGTGAGTGGGTGGGTGAGTGAGTGAGTGAGTGGGTGGGTGAGTGAGTGGGTGGGTGGGTGGGTGAGTGGGTGAGTGAGTGAGTGGGTGGGTGGGTGAGTGGGTGGGTGAGTGGGTGGGTGAGTGAGTGAGTGGGTGGGTGGGTGAGTGGGTGGGTGAGTGGGTGGGTGAGTGAGTGGGTGGGTGAGTGGGTGGGTGAGTGGGTGAGTGAGTGAGTGGGTGAGTGAGTGAGTGGGTGGGTGAGTGAGTGAGTGGGTGAGTGGGTGGGTGAGTGGGTGGGTGGGTGAGTGAGTGGGTGAGTGAGTGGGTGAGTGAGTGGGTGAGTGAGTAGGTGGGTGGGTGAGTGTGTGGGTGAGTGTGTGGGTGAGTGAGTGGGTGGGTGGGTGAGTGAGTGAGTGGGTGAGTGAGTGGGTGGGTGAGTGGGTGAGTGGGTGGGTGAGTGGGTGGGTGAGTGGGTGGGTGAGTGGGTGGGTGAGTGAGTGGGTGTGTGACTGAGTGAGTGTGTGACTGAGTGAGTGAGTGACTGAGTGTGTGACTGAGTGACTGAGTGAGTGACTGAGTGTGTGAGTGACTGAGTGTGTGACTGAGTGACTGTGTGAGTGACTGAGTGTGTGAGTGACTGAGTGAGTGACTGAGTGACTGACTGAGTGAGTGAGTTACTGAGTGAGTTACTGAGTGAGTGGCTGAGTGAGTGAGTGAGTGACTGAGTGAGTGACTGAGTGAGTGAGTGTGTGGGTGACTGAGTGAGTGAGTGACTGAGTGAGTGACTGAGTGAGTGAGTGACTGAGTGAGTGACTGAGTGACTGAGTGAGTGAGTGACTGACTGAGTGACTGAGTGAGTGACTGAGTGACTGACTGAGTGAGTGACTGAGTGAGTGACTGAGTGACTGAGTGACTGACTGACTGAGTGACTGAGTGAGTGACTGAGTGACTGAGTGACTGACTGAGTGACTGAGTGAGTGTGTGACTGAGTGACTGAGTGACTGACTGAGTGACTGAGTGAGTGACTGAGTGAGTGACTGAGTGAGTGACTGAGTGAGTGACTGAGTGAGTGACTGAGTGACTGAGTGACTGACTGAGTGAGTGTCTGAGTGACTGAGTGAGTGAGTGACTGAGTGACTGACTGAGTGAGTGACTGAGTGACTGAGTGAGTGAGTGACTGAGTGACTGAGTGAGTGAGTGACTGAGTGACTGAGTGACTGAGTGAGTGACTGAGTGAGTGACTGAGTGACTGAGTGAGTGACTGAGTGAGTGACTGAGTGACTGAGTGACTGACTGAGTGAGTGTCTGAGTGACTGAGTGAGTGAGTGACTGAGTGACTGACTGAGTGAGTGACTGAGTGAGTGACTGAGTGAGTGACTGAGTGACTGAGTGAGTGACTGAGTGACTGACTGAGTGACTGACTGAGTGAGTGACTGAGTGAGTGACTGACTGAGTGTGTGAGTGACTGAGTGACTGACTCACTGACTGAGTGACTGACTCACTGACTGAGTGACTGACTGACTGAGTGACTGACTGACTGAGTGACTGACTGAGTGACTGAGTGACTGACTGAGTGACTGACTCACTGACTGAGTGACTGACTGACTGAGTGACTGACTGACTGACTGAGTGACTGACTGAGTGACTGAGTGACTGACTGACTGAGTGACTGACTGAGTGACTGACTGACTGAGTGACTGACTGAGTGACTCACTGAGTGACTGACTGACTGACTGAGTGACTGACTGACTGAGTGAGTGACTGACTGAGTGAGTGACTGACTGAGTGACTGACTGAGTGACTGACTGAGTGACTGACTGAGTGACTGACTGAGTGAGTGACTGACTGACTGAGTGTGTGAGTGACTGACTGAGTGACTGACTGAGTGACTGACTGAGTGACTGAGTGACTGAGTGACTGACTGACTGACTGAGTGACTGACTGACTGAGTGACTGACTGAGTGACTGACTGACTGAGTGACTGACTGAGTGTGTCTCTCCCTCCCTCAGCGTTCCTCTCCCGTGTGCTCCTCTCCGTGTCCCCCTCCGTGGGGCGGGACTGGCTGAGTGAGTGACTGACTGAGTGACTGAGTGAGTGAGTGACTGACTGGCTGAGTGAGTGACTGACTGACTGACTGAGTGACTGAGTGAGTGACTGACTGACTGAGTGACTGATTGAGTGACTGACTGAGTGACTGATTGAGTGACTGACTGAGTGACTGACTGAGTGACTGAGTGAATGTGTGAGTGACTGAGTGACTAACTGAGTGACTCACTGAGTGACTGACTGACTGACTGAGTGACTGACTGAGTGACTGAGTGAATGTGTGAGTGACTGAGTGACTGACTGAGTGACTCACTGAGTGATTGACTGAGTGACTGACTGAGTGACTGACTGACTGAGTGACTGACTGACTGACTGAGTGACTGACTGATTGACTGAGTGAGTGACTGAGTGACTGACTGAGTGACTGACTGACTGAGTGACTGACTGAGTGTGTCTCTCCCTCCGTCAGCGTTCCTCTCCCGTGTGCTCCTCACCGTGTCCCCCTCCGTGGGGCGGGACTGGCTGAGTGAGTGACTGACTGAGTGACTGACTGAGTGACTGACTGAGTGACTGAGTGACTGACTGAGTGACTGAGTGAATGTGTGAGTGACTGACTGACTGACTGAGGACTGACTGACTGAGTGACTGACTGAGTGACTGACTGACTGAGTGACTGAGTGACTGACTGAGTGACTGACTGAGTGACTGACTGACTGAGTGACTGACTGAGTGAGTGACTGAGTGACTGACTGACTGACTGAGTGACTGACTGACTGAGTGACTGACTGACTGAGTGACTGACTGAGTGACTGACTGACTGAGTGACTGACTGACTGAGTGAGTGACTGACTGAGTGACTGACTGACTGAGTGACTGACTGACTGAGTGACTGACTGAGTGACTGACTGAGTGACTGACTGAGTGACTGGCTGAGTGAGTGACTGACTGAGTGAGTGACTGAGTGACTGACTGACTGAGTGACTGACTGAGTGTGTCTCTCCCTCCCTCAGCGTTCCTCTCCCGTGTGCTCCTCTCCGTGTCCCCCTCCGTGGGGCGGGACTGGCTGAGTGAGTGACTGAGTGACTGACTGACTGACTGAGTGACTGAGTGACTGACTGACTGAGTGACTGACTGACTGAGTGACTGACTGAGTGACTGACTGAGTGACTGACTGACTGAGTGACTGACTGACTGACTGACTGACTGAGTGACTGACTGACTGAGTGACTGACTGACTGACTGAGTGACTGACTGACTGACTGACTGAGTGACTGACTGAGTGACTGACTGAGTGACTCACTGAGTGACTGACTGAGTGACTGACAGTGACTGAGTGACTGACTGAGTGACTGACTGACTGACTGACTGACTGAGTGACTGACTGAGTGACTGACTGAGTGACTGAGTGACTGACTGAGTGACTGACTGAGTGACTGACTGACTGAGTGACTGACTGACTGAGTGACTGACTGACTGAGTGACTGACTGACTGACTGAGTGACTGACTGAGTGACTGACTGAGTGACTGACTGACTGACTGACTGAGTGACTGACTGAGTGACTGACTGACTGACTGAGTGACTGACTGAGTGACTGACTGACTGACTGAGTGACTGACTGAGTGACTCACTGAGTGACTGAGTGACTGACTGAGTGACTGAGTGAATGTGTGAGTGACTGACTGACTGACTGAGTGACTGACTGACTGAGTGACTGACTGAGTGTGTCTCTCCCTCCCTCAGCGTTCCTCTCCCGTGTGCTCCTCTCCGTGTCCACCTCCGTGGGGCGGGACTGGCTGAGTGAGTGACTGAGTGAGTGACTGAGTGAGTGACTGAGTGACTGAGTGACTGACTGACTGACTGAGTGACTGAGTGACTGACTGACTGAGTGACTGACTGACTGACTGAGTGACTGACTGACTGAGTGACTGACTGACTGAGTGACTGACTGACTGACTGAGTGACTGACTGAGTGACTGACTGACTGAGTGACTGACTGAGTGACTGACTGACTGACTGAGTGACTGACTGACTGAGTGACTGACTGACTGACTGACTGAGTGACTGACTGACTGACTGAGTGACTGACTGAGTGACTCACTGAGTGACTGACTGACTGACTGAGTGACTGACTGACTGAGTGACTGACTGAGTGACTCACTGAGTGACTGACTGACTGACTGAGTGACTGACTGACTGAGTGACTGACTGAGTGACTGACTGACTGACTGACTGAGTGACTGACTGAGTGACTGACTGACTGAGTGACTGACTGACTGACTGACTGACTGAGTGACTGACTGACTGAGTGACTGACTGACTGACTGAGTGACTGACTGAGTGAGTGACTGACTGACTGACTGAGTGACTGACTGAGTGACTGACTGAGTGACTGACTGACTGAGTGACTGACTGACTGACTGACTGACTGACTGAGTGACTGACTGAGTGACTGACTGACTGACTGAGTGACTGACTGAGTGACTGAGTGACTGACTGAGTGACTGACTCACTGACTGAGTGACTGACTGACTGAGTGACTGACTGACTGACTGAGTGACTGACTGAGTGACTGAGTGACTGACTGACTGAGTGACTGACTGAGTGACTGACTGACTGAGTGACTGACTGAGTGACTCACTGAGTGACTGACTGACTGACTGAGTGACTGACTGACTGAGTGAGTGACTGACTGAGTGAGTGACTGACTGAGTGACTGACTGAGTGACTGACTGAGTGACTGACTGAGTGACTGACTGAGTGAGTGACTGACTGAGTGTGTGAGTGACTGACTGAGTGACTGACTGAGTGACTGACTGAGTGACTGAGTGACTGAGTGACTGACTGACTGACTGAGTGACTGACTGACTGAGTGACTGACTGACTGACTGACTGACTGACTGAGTGACTGACTGAGTGACTGACTGACTGAGTGACTGACTGACTGAGTGACTGACTGAGTGTGTCTCTCCCTCCCTCAGCGTTCCTCTCCCGTGTGCTCCTCTCCGTGTCCACCTCCGTGGGGCGGGACTGGCTGAGTGAGTGACTGAGTGACTGACTGACTGACTGAGTGACTGACTGACTGAGTGACTGACTGACTGACTGAGTGACTGACTGAGTGTCTCTCCCCCACCCTCCCTCAGCGTTCCTCTCCCGTGTGCTCCTCTCCGTGTCCACCTCCGTGGGGCGGGACTGGCTGAGTGAGTGACTGAGTGACTGAGTGAGTGACTGAGTGACTGACTGAGTGACTGACTGAGTGACTGACTGAGTGACTGACTGACTGAGTGACTGACTGAGTGACTCACTGAGTGACTGACTGACTGACTGAGTGACTGACTGACTGAGTGAGTGACTGACTGAGTGTGTGAGTGACTGAGTGACTGAGTGACTGACTGACTGAGTGACTGACTGAGTGACTGACTGACTGAGTGACTGACTGAGTGACTCACTGAGTGACTGACTGACTGACTGAGTGACTGAGTGACTGAGTGACTGACTGACTGACTGAGTGACTGACTGAGTGACTGACTGACTGAGTGACTGACTGACTGAGTGACTGACTGACTGACTGAGTGTGTCTCTCCCTCCCTCAGCGTTCCTCTCCCGTGTGCTCCTCTCCGTGTCCACCTCCGTGGGGCGGGACTGACTAAGTGAGTGACTGAGTGACTGACTGACTGAGTGACTGACTGACTGAGTGACTGACTGACTGAGTGACTGACTGACTGACTGACTGACTGAGTGACTGACTGACTGAGTGAGTGACTGAGTGACTGACTGAGTGACTGACTGAGTGACTGACTGACTGAGTGACTGACTGAGTGACTGACTGACTGACTGAGTGACTGACTGAGTGACTGACTGACTGAGTGACTGACTGAGTGACTGACTGACTGAGTGACTGACTGACTGACTGAGTGACTGACTGAGTGACTGACTGAGTGAGTGACTGACTGACTGAGTGACTGACTGACTGAGTGACTGACTGAGTGACTGACTGACTGAGTGACTGACTGAGTGTCTCTCTCTCCCACCCTCCCTCAGCGTTCCTCTCCCGTGTGCTCCTCTCCGTGTCCACCTCCGTGGGGCGGGACTGGCTGAGTGAGTGACTGAGTGACTGACTGACTGAGTGAGTGACTGAGTGACTGACTGAGTGACTGACTGACTGACTGAGTGACTGACTGAGTGACTGACTGACTGAGTGTCTCTCTCTCCCTCCCTCCCTCAGCGTTCCTCTCCCGTGTGCTCCTCTCCGTGTCCACCTCCGTGGGGCGGGACTGGCTGAGTGAGTGACTGAGTGACTGAGTGAGTGAGTGACTGAGTGAGTGACTGACTGACTGACTGAGTGACTGACTGAGTGACTCACTGAGTGACTGACTGACTGACTGAGTGACTGACTGACTGAGTGAGTGACTGAGTGACTGACTGAGTGACTGACTGACTGACTGAGTGACTGACTGAGTGACTGACTGACTGAGTGTCTCTCTCTCCCTCCCTCCCTCAGCGTTCCTCTCCCGTGTGCTCCTCTCCGTGTCCACCTCCGTGGGGCGGGACTGGCTGAGTGAGTGACTGAGTGACTGACTGAGTGACTCACTGAGTGACTGACTGACTGACTGAGTGACTGACTGAGTGACTCACTGAGTGACTGACTGACTGACTGAGTGACTGACTGACTGACTGAGTGACTGACTGACTGAGTGACTGACTGACTGAGTGACTGACTGACTGAGTGAGTGACTGAGTGACTGACTGAGTGACTGACTGACTGACTGAGTGACTGACTGAGTGACTGACTGACTGAGTGTCTCTCCCTCCCACCCTCCCTCAGCGTTCCTCTCCCGTGTGCTCCTCTCCGTGTCCACCTCCGTGGGGCGGGACTGGCTGAGTGAGTGACTGAGTGACTGACTGACTGAGTGACTGACTGAGTGACTGACTGAGTGACTGACTGAGTGAGTGACTGACTGAGTGACTGACTGAGTGACTGACTGACTGAGTGACTGACTGAGTGTCTCTCCCCCACCCTCCCTCAGCGTTCCTCTCCCGTGTGCTCCTCTCCGTGTCCACCTCCGTGGGGCGGGACTGGCGCATCCTCTCCCGCCACCTCGGCCTGTCGGAGGTGGACATCGACGCGGTGAGCCACGCCCACCGTGACGACCTTCGCGAGCAGAGCCACAGGGCCCTGGAGACCTGGGCCCTGCGCAGGGGGGCACGACGTGGGGCCTGCGGGGAGGCCTCCGCCGCCGCCGAGCTCAGGGACGCCCTGAGGAGGGCTCAGCTCAACCTCGTCGCCGATAACCTGGAGGACGACTTCCCGGAGATGTTCCGGAAGTGAGCGGCGGTGGTGGTGGTGGTGGTGGTGGTGGAGGTGGCGGTGGTGGGAAGAGAGACGCTCACTCGCTCAACCACTCAGTCACTCACGTCACTCACTCACCCATCCACCTACCCACTCACCCACTCATCCACTCACTCACTCACCCACCCACCCACTCACTCACTCACTCACCCATCCACTCATCCACTCACCCACTCATCCACTCACTCACCCACCCACCCACTCACTCACCCACCCACTCACCCACCCACCCACCCACTCACTCACTCACTCACCCATCCACTCATCCACTCACCCACTCATCCACTCACTCACCCACCCACCCACCCACTCACCCAGCCACCCACTCACCCACTCACTCACTCACCCACCCACTCACCCACTCACTCACCCACTCACTCACTCACCCACTCACCCACCCACTCACCCACCCACTCACCCACCCACCACTCACCCACCCACCACTCACCCACCCACCACTCACCCACCCACTCACTCCCTCACCCACCCACTCACTCACCCACTCACCCACTCACTCACCCACCCACCCACTCACTCACCCACCCACCCACCCACCCACCCACCCACCCACCCACTCACCCACTCACCCACCCACCCACTCACCCACCCACCCACCCACTCACCCACTCACCCACTCACCCACCCACCCACTCACCCACTCACTCACCCACTCACTCACCCACTCACTCACCCACTCACTCACTCACCCACCCACTCACCCACCCACCCACCCACTCACCCACCCACTCACCCACCCACCCACATGTATCTCCACACCTAGCATTTGCACAGTTGGCTACGTACGGTGCGAAATAAGTTCAACACACACACACACATTGCTCACACATACAACGAAGTAAAATTAGGGAGAGAGATGCAGACTCCAAATATACAGCAGCAGCAGACCAGGCGAGGTAGTCAACATCTCACAGGGTCTGGGATCGAACCCACGACCTCCTGTACACCAGGCGAGGTAGTCAACATCTCGTGGTGTCACGGGATCGAACCCACGACTTCCTGTACACCAGGCGAGGTAGTCAACATCTCTCAGGGTCACGGGATCGAACCCACGACCTCCTGTACACCAGGCGAGGTAGTCAACATCTCATCAGGGTCACGGGATCGAACCCACGACCTCCTGCGTAACAGGCGAGGTAGTTAACATCTCACAGGGTCACAGGATCGAACCCACGACCTCCTGTACACCAGGCGAGGTAGTCAACATCTCATCAGGGTCACGGGATCGAACCCACGACCTCCTGTACACCAGGCGAGGTAGTCAACATCTCTCAGGGTCACGGGATCGAACCCACGACCTCCTGTACACCAGGCGAGGTAGTCAACATCTCATCAGGGTCACGGGATCGAACCCACGACCTCCTGCATACCAGGCGAGGTAGTTAACATCTCACAGGGTCACAGGATCGAACCCACGACCTCCTGTACACCAGGCGAGGTAGTCAACATCTCATCAGGGTCACGGGATCGAACCCACGACCTCCTGTACACCAGGCGAGGTAGTTAACATTTCCCTAGTCCCATAGAGGCCTGCAGTGATACATAGAGACCCACAGAGCCATAGACACACACAGACACACACAGACACACACAGACACACGCAGACACACAGAGACACACAGAGACACAGACACACACAGAGACACAGACACACAGAGAGACGCAGACACACAGAGAGATGCAGACACACACACACAGACACACAGACACACACAGACACACAGAGACACAAACACACAGACACAAACACACAGACACACAGAGACACAGACACACAGAGATACAGACACACAGAGACACAGAGACACACAGAGACACAGAGACACAGACACACAGAGAGACACAGACACACAGAGACACAGACACACAGAGACACAGACACACAGAGACACAGACACACAGAGACACAGACACACAGACACAGACACACAGAGATACAGACACACAGAGATACAGACACACAGAGACACAGACACACAGAGACACAGACACACAGAGAGACACAGACACACAGAGACACAGACACACAGAGACACACAGAGACACAGACACACAGAGACACAGACACACAGAGACACAGACACACAGAGACACAGACACACAGAGACACAAACACACAGAGACACAAACACACAGACACACAGACACACAGAGATACAGACACAGACACACAGACACACAGAGACACAGACACACAGAGACACAGACACACAGACACACAGAGACACAGACACACAGACACACAGAGAGATACAGACACACAGAGAGACACAGACACACAGAGACACAGACACACACAGACACACAGAGACACACAGAGACCCACAGAGACCCACAGAGACCCACAGAGACCCACAGAGACACACAGAGACCCACAGAGACCCACAGAGACCCAAAGAGACCCACAGAGACACACAGAGACACACAGAGACACACAGAGCAGGAGACACAGAGACACACAGAGACACACAGAGACACACAGAGACACACAGAGACACACAGAGACACACAGAGACACACAGAGACACAGAGAGACACACAGAGACCCACACACACAGAGACACACAGAGACACACATACACACAGAGACACACAGAGACACAATGAACCACAGACACACACAGACACACACAGACACACACAGAGACACACAGAGACACACAGAGACCCACAGAGACCCACAGAGACCCACAGAGCAGGAGACAGACACACAGATACACACAGATACACACAGAGACACACAGACACACACAGAGACACACAGACACACAGAGACCCACAGAGACACACAGAGACCCACAGAGACCCACAGAGACCCACAGAGACACACAGAGACCCACAGAGACACACAGAGACACACAGAGACCCACAGAGACCCACAGAGACACACAGACACACAGAGACCCACAGAGACACACAGAGACACACAGAGACCCACAGAGACCCACAGAGACCCACAGAGACACACAGAGACACACAGAGACCCACAGAGACCCACAGAGACCCACAGAGACACACAGAGACACACAGAGACCCACAGAGACCCACAGAGACCCACAGAGACACACAGAGACACACAGAGACCCACAGAGACCCACAGAGACACACAGACACACAGAGACCCACAGAGACACACAGAGACACACAGAGCAAGAGACACACAGAGACACACAGAGACACACAGACACACAGAGACACACAGAGCAAGAGACACAGTATATTTTGCATGCGCTGTGTGTGTGTGTGTATACATTTTTAGTTTTGTGCTGACCCCACGGCGTTACACGAGCGAATCTCCAGGCTGGGCATAGACATCACATACATCATCATCACATACATCATCATCATCACATACATCATCATCACATACATCATCATCATCATCACATACATCATCATCACATACATCATCATCACAATCATCATCATCACAGACATCATCATCATCATCACATACATCATCATCACAGTCATCATCATCATCACAGACATCATCATCACAGACATCATCATCACAGACATCATCATCACCATCATCACAGACATCATCATCACAGACATCATCATCATCACAGACATCATCATCATCACAGACATCATCATCATCACAGACATCACCATCACATACATCATCATCATCATAGACATCATCATCACAGACATCATCATCATCACAGACATCATCATCACAGACATCATCATCACAGACATCATCATCACAGACATCATCATCACAGACATCATCATCACAGACATCATCACGGACATCATCATCATCACAGACATCATCATCACATACATCATCATCATCATCACATACATCATCATCTTAGACATCATCATCATCACAGTCATCATCACAGTCATCATCACAGACATCATCATCATCATCACAGACATCATCATCACAGACATCATCATCACAGACATCATCATCATCACAGACATCATCATCATCACATACATCATCATCACATACATCATCATCACAGTCATCATCATCATCACAGACATCATCATCACAGACATCATCATCATCACAGACATCATCATCATCACAGACATCATCATCACAGACATCATCACAGACATCATCATCATCACAGACATCATCATCATCACAGACATCACCATCACATACATCATCATCATCACAGACATCATCATCATCATCACAGACATCATCATCACAGACATCATCATCACAGACATCATCATCATAGACATCATCATCACAGACATCATCACGGACATCATCATCATAGACATCATCATCATAGACATCATCATCACAGACACCATCATCACAGACATCATCATCACAGACATCATCATCATAGACATCATCATCACAGACATCATCACGGACATCATCATCATAGACATCATCATCACAGACATCATCATCACAGACATCATCATCATCACAGACATCATCATCATTACAGACATCATCATCATCACAGAGATCATCATCACAGACATCATCATCATCACAGACATCATCATCACAGACATCATCACGGACATCATCATCATAGACATCATCATCACAGACATCATCATCATAGACATCATCACGGACATCATCATCATCATCACAGACATCATCATCACAGACATCATCACGGACATCATCATCATAGACATCATCATCACAGACATCATCATCACAGACACCATCATCACAGACATCATCATCACAGACATCATCATCATAGACATCATCATCACAGACATCATCACAGACATCATCATCATCATCACAGACATCATCATCATCACAGACATCATCATCATCACAGACATCATCATCATAACAGACATCATCATCACGGACATCATCACAGACATCATCATCTTAGACATCATCATCATCACAGACATCATCATCACATACATCATCATCACATACATCATCATCACAGTCATCATCATCATCACAGACATCATCATCATCATCACAGACATCATCATCACAGACATCATCATCATCACAT